GCTGTGGCTCAAGTGGTAGAGCGCTAGCCTTGAGCTGAAGAGCTGAGGGACAGTGCCCAGGCCCAGAGTTCAGGCCCCACAACCAGACCCCCCCAAAAAAATTAGCCTTGATCTTGGGCCTAAGCACTCAAGGAATGTGGGAGGGGGATACATTTTGGGGGTTGGTGAGAGTTTCATTTTAGATATGTCAGATTCAAGTATACATTAAACACTTGGAAGCGCCAAGTGTAGAACTCCCCAGCCCCCATGGCCATTTCTGCGGGGAACTGTACCACCTAGGGCAGGGAAAAGAGTAGAAGAGAAAGGTTCCAAGCCTGAGCCCTGAACATTGACATGAGGTCATACCCTCCTTGGAGAGGTGACCAGTGAGGTAGAAGATAGAACAGGGTCGTGATCAGCTGTGCTACATGCCACTGAGAGGTGAAGGACCAGAATCCTGCTTGCTCAGCTGGCACTTGACCACTTGAGCCATGCTTCTGTCTTGTTGTGTGTGTGTGTGCGCGCGTACGTGCACGCGCGTGTGCACACAGGCCAGTCACAGGGTCTGAGCTCTGTACCTGAGCTGCTTTTTGTTCAAGTCTAGCACTGTATCAGTAGAGCTACAGTGTCACTTCTGGCTTTTGTTGGTGGTGGTGGTAGTGGTTAGTAGTTTGTTGGATATGAGTCTCATAGAGCTGGGCACTGGTGCCTTACCTATAATCCTAGCTACTCAGGAGGCTGAGATCCGAAGATCACAGTTCGAAGGCAGTCCAGGCAGGAAAGTCTGTGAGACTCTTACCTCCAATAAACCACTCAGAAAAAGCTGGAAGTGGCACTGAGGGCCAAGTACTAGAGCACTAGCCTTGAGCAAAAGCAGCTCAGGGACAGTGCCCAGCCCCTAAATTCAAGCCCTAGGACCAGCACACACACACATATCTCATGGGTTTTTCCTTCCCTGGATGACTTCAAACTGCAGTCCTCAGATCTCAGCCTCTTGAGTAGTGAGAATTACGGGCATGAGCCCCCGACACCCAATTATAGTTATAAAATTTCTAATAGCCACATAGAAACAGGCACAATTTTTTTATTTTTATTTTTTGCCAAGCATTCAACAAATCTCCAACCTCTGGTGCTCTCATAGACTCTCTCCCTGTTTAAAGCATGTGTGTGACTGGCTAATCACTCAACATGTGTTAGGAACTCTTGATGATTGATGTATTTAATGTCTCCATCTACATGCATATCGCTGTGTGCTACAGCAGTACTGGCACGGAGTGCTGTGTATCAGTTTGGGTCTGTGTTCATCTGTGTGTGTGTGCAGTGTGAGGTTTGGGATATTTTCTGTCAAGCAGTTTTCATGCACCTGTGCCATGCGGATCTCTCTCACTGCCTGTAGGCCAAGGTGTGTCTGTGTATAACTTGGGTGTAAGAGATGTGTTTGGAAAAGGTTGTAACTCAGCCCCAGGCAAGCAGGTGAACACGCAGAAATAAGATGACAAGGTAGTCACTGGTTCCTGCAGAGAGAGAGACGGAGCTCCCAGAGTGCTGCCTTCCCCAGGGATGAGTGTAGCCAACCACAGTGGCTTTGTTGTCCTTGAGGACTTAAAGCAGCAGCAGGTGGGAAGCTGCCTCAAGCCTTTGCATCCTCCACAGGGCTCGCTGCCCTTCGTGGCCCCCTACTTGTATGCTTTGCTGCCTGTCTCATCTCACTGCTCACCCTGGGTCTGCTTCCATCCTGCGGCTGAGATCTCTGCATGCTTGTCACTTGCTCATCGGGCTGGTATTCCACTATCCGCCTGCTCATCTCCCTCCCTGCCCGCCTGCCTTCTCACCTCTGTCCTGCCTGCCTGTGAGACCAGCCTGTGTTGCCTTTGGAAAGCACAGAGCACTCCTAAGAGGAAACAAGAAAGATGGGTCTTGATAGAAGAGGGTCCGAGAGGTCCGGACCACTGCAGACTCTGCCTGGTATGTTTAGAGACCAGTGCCAAGTTCCAACAGCATGTTCCCTCCAGCCATGGCTATGCTGAGAGTCCCTGAGGCCTCCCATTCCACAGGGGTAAGTCTTGGCTGGAGGAAAAGTCTAGTACCCAGAATAGCTGCTGGGAAGAGGTACTGGGGAAGGTTGCTCCATGGGTATTAGTAGAGGATCTAGTGGGTCCTCCTGGCACTCTACCGTTTGGAGCATGACTCCCGCTTGACAGTTCCCGCTCAGGGTTCTCCCTCCCATCACCCCCAAAGTTGCCTTTCCACTGAGCTTCCTGTTGCTCCTGTCTGCACTGGAAGCAAAACATGCTGCTAACATACTAACCTTCACCTGTAGTTAAAAAATGTTTCTTTGTCCTGTGATATAAAAAGTAGCGATGTATATTTGGGGGGTGATCCATTGCTGTGTGAGCAGGCCAGCCCTGGAAACACTGGTGGGTGGGATGTACTCGGTAAATTTCTTTCTTTTTTTTTTTTTTTTTTTGTCGGTCCTGGGGCCTGAACTCTGGGCCTGGGCGCTGTCCCTCAGCTCTTCAGCTCAAGGCGAGCACTCTACCACTTGAGCTACAGCACCACTTCCGGTTTTCTGGTGGTTTATTGGAGATAGCCCGGGCTGGCTTTGAACCGAGATCCTCAGATCTCAGCCTCCTGAGTAGCTAGGATTACAGGCATGAGCCACCAGCACCCGGTTTTTAAACTCGGTAAATTTCTGAACAAAGGAAGGGACAAATTTCCTCCACTTATGTTAGGGGCATGGCTCAAGTGACTAAGAACATCTAGATGTTCTTAGCACGCAGGGGCCCTGGGTTCAGTCTCCAGCATGGGGGAGATTTTCTCCACAGTTGATTCCCAAAAGATACAGTGTAGACCACAGAGCCAATTCTTTCTGGTAA